AACCATTCGTGTTTCTCTAATCTCAGTCTACTACTTGATGCGATTCAGAGAAGGCAAATGATGGTCAGGAATGTGACTACAGAAGAGATGCAGGCAAGTCAGACGTCCTAATACAGTCAGCAGCTATGCTAAACCCCTTTGGATAGTAGTTACCTCCTGGGACTGGAGCTGAAGGGACAGCAGTTGGAAGCACTGGTTTGAAAGTCATTTCATACTATTTCTCTTTTCTGCCACAATTAATCTGTTAAGCAGAATGGAGCCATTCTGGTTTTGGAATTGTGCCAGACTGTCCAGACTGAGAACTTAAATCCATGCACAGACACCGGCAGATGAATGGTGGTGCTCCATCCAAGAGAAGGGTTCTCGACAGCTAGTGCCCCATTTTGCACTAACAGATTGCTTAAGGTTGCTTCAGCCAGGGGGCTGGAGAAGAAAGATATACAGAACTTTATTTTCACAGCAAACACCCCAACCATGATGAAGTGATGGATGACTTAATAGAAACAGCCTGCAGTCAGACTAGTCAAAGCCAAATCCTGTAAGGATTGCTTCTGGGAGTGACAGTGGTGTGTTTGTTTCCCCTACAGTATGAGGACTGACAGCAATTCTATACTTTTATCTTTACTAATATAACAGATATCAACATATATATGTATAGATTATCAACCCTTTTTGTTTGTTTGCTTTACCTAACTGGGTTTGCATCCTCAGTGATAACCTTTGGCAATAAGGACCTTAGGTTTATTCTGCGGGAGGAAAAACATCTCTAAAGTTGTGTCCTGCCTTCTAATATAATTTCGTATCCCTTTATTTTTGTAATACATAGGAAGCTTCAGAGGTGCACCCAAGTGAACTGTTCTAAACCTCACTGCTTTCATTTGCCTATACTGCTAGTTGCTGGAGTGGCCCATAAACAGGCCTATATCTTTTTTAAATCTCTTTCAAATCCAGTGGGAGAACTCATGTGTGGAGGAGCTTGCGGGATGAGAGTTTAAATATTTTATTTTAGTCTTGCAAATCAATTTATGAGCAATGACACAGCATAATATAATTGAAGATTTTTTTATGTTTCAGAGAAAACCATGCAAAAATCTGCTTAGAATACAGCACAGTGCAACTATGTTGCACAGTCGCTTTCACACAAATTGTGGCCAAAAACACTGTACAGAGTTCCATAAAGTAATGGTTTAAATTACTGAATGCAGTTACAAAGAGATTGTGTGATGAATAAATTAAAGCACTTGGTCATAAATCCAATTAGAGTGAGAGAGAAATTAACAAGCATAAGCAAAGCTGAAAGATGCATTTTAAGATGGATTTGAGAAGAGATGAGGAATCCGTGACGCAGACACAAGAATGTTGGTCCGTACTGCTGGCAAAGCACAAGAGAAGAGTCTTGTATTGTTAGGAGCTGGACTACGGTGAGCAACAGTAAAGGTCTTGAGAAAGAGGGCAGGAGCACTAACAAAAGAGCTCATGGTCCACTGCCTTGTCCCTTGTGCTGTCCTTTGCCCTTAAGCAACAGGACAAAGTACAACCAAATTAGAATGGTAGCATTTACAACAGTCCATATAAAAGGGTTGAAAGACTGGAAGACAATGGAGAAGGCAGCAGAGTGGGTTGACAGGATGTGAGGAAGCCACAGGGAGCAAGGCTACAGGAGAGGTGGCAAAGGGAAATGAAGATGGGAGAATTTAGCTCGAGGCTGTGTTTGCAAGAGGTACTTTTAAAATCAGAAGGAAGGCAAGCAGAGCTAGTTGAGCATGCGTGCTATAGTGCTGACATTCAGATGGGACGTGAAAAGTGATGCAAACCAGGTCATACACGCTGAAGTCAATGCACTGCAAATCACATCCTTGTTGCAAACTCAAGACTACGCACGCCCTAATAACCCAAGTATGACTCCCTTACAGAGGACTCTGAAATGGTGTTTCAAATAACAGGGACAAATATTAATGCTAACTATGACAATGAGCTTAAATCCAGTATGTCTGTGAACCCAAATACATTTCTCCATCACTTTCCAAGTTAACATACTGCTAAGAAGCTAATCAAGCAAGGCTCTACAGAAAGTCTGATGTGTTAGCAAAGTGACCCCTACACAGTGTGCTTTGCAAAGTCTTTCACAAGTGACCTCCCTAGGCTAGCACAAGACCTCAGGTGACCAAAGTCCAACCAAACAGGTCATTCAGCCCTGAGGCCTGCAATGAGCTCCACGCATAGAGATATCAGAACCTTTCTCAAAGTCTAGTGCAGCCTGGATAGTACCATATGGGCACAGACTCCACTGATCGGGAGGTCATGGCAACACTGCTTTTAAAAAGATATTTAAAACTGAGATTAATTTCTACACAATTTTGTGATGCAGATCTTTCGTCTGGGGGCATTGCTGGCTTGGATCACTGTCATCTTCACATGCCTTTTGCAACTCCAAACAGAAATCACTGCTCCAGCAATAAGCATCCATTTTACCTGTAGAGCTCTCCTTCCCTCTCCACCTGCCCATGAAAACCATCGCCTCTCACCCTCACTGAGCCTTTCTTCATTTGAAACAGACTATAACTTGTACCAAACTCCACTCACCTGTGTGTGACTATTTTACAATGCTGACTTCCACTGGAAGGCAAGTGCAGATTCACCATGATCTAAAACAACCAATGAATATAAGATCACATTAGTAGATGCAGACTAAAAGATGACAGAGAATTTGTGACACGATACCTTCAGTTTACCCTTCATCGTAAGCTGCACTGATCCTCAGCTCAATATAACAGTGGAAGCTTACCATTAAAGTAAGTATCAGACCACTTATTATTGCCCCACTTTTCCCCGTTCAGTATCACACCGAGAATATTTTCCACTGTGAAGGCAGTGTGCCTTGTCTTTGAAGCTAGGATAAAACCAGAAAGAGAAAATGCAAGAGGGAAGACAGGACTGCAACCCAGTTAGGTGTAATTTTTAATGGAGTCGGTGTTTTTCACTCTAGATGTCTGCTTACTTATTCAGCTCAAGTTCATTCTTAGGGGGATCTTGTCAATAAAGTCAAATCAGGCTCTCTGTGAGCAGTAAGGTTTTTGAGGGTCTTTTTTGAGGGCTTCATTAAAAGCAGACAGTTTCTCTAACCTTTTAGCAGAACCTGTTATCTGATGACGTGAATTAAAGTCTCTCAAATGACTAATAATCATATCAAGGCTGCCATGTCAGCTTGTAGATTTGAATAAGAGGGTCTGAAAACATTTGCATGCCTCGATGTGCCAGTGCTAAGAAGCTAATGTGATAGTGCTGTCATAAAGCACTGGAAAGACATGACTTAATGTAATCTGTCATGTCATATGCTAATCTTCAGCCATTACTTGAGTGCTGTAAGTAAGTAGAAAGCATTTGGGAGAAATCCTTTTCAATTTCTCTGAGTACCACTTCTGCTGCTGGTCAGCTCAAATGGGTTTTGTGCATTTAATGCAGAGCTCAAGTCAAGTTGGTTTAGGTCACACTTAATTAACCAGCACATTGATGGGTTGGGCTGGTACAGCACTATGGAAAATGGGTATTTCTGATACTGTCTAACAGGTAAATATTTCATAGGTTGAAAGAAAAGAGACTTTCTCAGTCCTTGATAAGAATATGTCCTTTCAGAAAAACACTGACTCTTTAGCAAGACATTGTTTTCTGTGCCTCACTTACTTTGCTTCAATGTGTGAGCACAATTTAAACAAAGATGATTATAAATAGTTAAAGACATTTCCATTTCTAACTGCAAACTTTTAGATCACTTGATGTAGACTTGTCATTTAAACAACAATAGACAGAGGCAGCTTTAAACTCACTGTACTTTTTAATAAGAACAGAAGAAATGATCAAAGGTAAAATTTCACTTTACTTATTTGTTTTAGGAAAATGACACCAACCTTTTTTAATATACAGCAGGTAGAAGAGGGAGAAATTCTCACAATACTAAGTACAGCACGTGGGATGGAAAATGAAACATATTAGTGAGAATGACAGAAATTTCAGGACAATTTTAGCAAAGTGTGAAGGGATTTTGAGTCAACACTTGAAGGTTATTTTAATAATAGCTACAGCCTATTCAAATAAAAACTTAAGAACCCTGTGCCTTTTGCAGCTACGAAGATGTTTAGCAGGGCTGAGCAGTTTGCAACCTGCCCCAGCTAAATCTGAGTGCTTTGCACTCAAGTATTTCAGATCATTTAGATTAGGCCTGCTACAAAGAAACGTGGGAACATTACACCCACACCAAGAATAAGAAAACTTTCCTCACTCTGTTTTCTTGGTGGTCACATTGGAATCAAATCCTGCAAATGTCAGACATTTCATAGACCTACAGGAAACAGAGATAGGCAATCTTTACAGCATTAGGTCATTTTGTTCATTCCCTTGCCAACATTGGATTGTTCCCATAGTAAATCGTGAAGTGCTTCATTCAATCTAAATTTAAAATGACTCAGTTTAATAGGGCTGCCACCATTCCCAAAGGGAAAGTGTTCTTACCCTCCAGTGTCAAGCGTGGCTGTCCCCCCCTTCCACAGCTCAGCTATTTTTATCCCTTTGCTATGGCATAGGGGAAACCTATGTAATAACTTATAGCTTCACTTTTGCTTGCCAGTAAAATATCTAGAGATTCTGATCAAGTCCTCCCCTTCAGGAGGAATAAAAAGATCCAAAATATGTTGTCAGCTGTCTATGGGATCAGTAATCTTCACTCCTTTAATACTGGCCTGTTCAATTGTGTTCTCAGGCTAGAGATTCTTCCTTTGTATGTAACAGGCTGTAGTTACATTTCAAACACTAGTCTTTTAGAGCCTTTTTTTTTTGAAGTTCCTTATCTATAGATGATAAAAAAGGAGGTAAAGTTCCCTACCTCTTCCTGCATCACAGAGGCAAGACATCAGGTCTTCCTCCCACTCTCACTGAAGTACTAGCCGGATGCAACCAGAGGAGCTCAAGCCTTACCATCTCACCAGTGCAGCATAACTTAAGTCTTGGCTCTCGGAGATCTGTCTGTCCTTACGTTACCTGCATACCTTTGCTGTGGAGCAACCCAGGACCAGAGTTAAGCCAGCCTTATGGACAATAGTTTTAAAGAGACAGTCTCCCTTACTATTGAAAGTCCAGTCTATAGCCTAATAAATGTCACTACCACAAAGCTTTTTCCGATAGTTAGCCAAAATATGCCAGTTAGCCAAGCTATTTATTTATTTTTTACTCTTTCCTCATGTAGACCATTCATCATTCTAAATTCTTAATCATTTTTGTTGCTGTTCTCTGAACTCCCTCCAAATTGTTGATGACCTTTGGATATAATGGTGCCCAGAACTATTTGTTAAGTAGACGCTCCTCAGAACCATGAGAAGGACTGCACATCTAGAAAGTGAGGCTCATGCATTTCATTGTCCTTTACTGTACCTGACGGGAAGCATGCTATTTCATTCATCAACAGACAGGGGGGCCACAGAGGAGGTTTCATTATGTGTTCATTACCTCCTTCTTCTTGCACTTCCTTTCATTTACCCAGTTGTGTTCTCTGAATATTCTTTCATTCATCAACAACAGATCAAACCTGCCTTACTCCTTTTTCTTCTATATCCACTCGTTTTCATAAGCTGAAGAATCGTTTTAGGCATAGCCTTCTTAGTCAGTCAGTTTATCCCACTGCTCTTTTCCGAACTAATTCCTGCTCTGTAATACTTAGGTGCCAAGTAGTGAATGCATCTTTTGTGCTCTGTCAAAATTTTTTGCTCTTGTTAGCCTGTTTTCACAAATGAACAGATGAGCAAGCTGGACTTCAGCTGTAGTGACTTGGGGGTCTCATAACGATCACTGCTAGGTAGCATATTTTTCAGAGTACTTGCTTCATACTAGAGACAAACATCTATTCAAACTCACATAGGGTTTTGTCTTCACTGCATTATTATCTTGAGCTGTAATTCCAGTTTTGCATATAATTTGAGTCCCATCTAGATGCAGGTACGCTAGTTTTGGCGGAGGACCTAATACATTCTAATTCAAACCAACTGTTGCAGCGAGGAGACTTTGCAGACATTTTAAAATACAGGGGATATCCTCAGTCTATTTCCAATGCACCATTGTCTCCTGAAAAGACCATCCCAAAGACCATGACCGCAGCTCAATCTTTGGTTCCTCCGTTGAGGATACCATGAAGGGCCCCAGTTAGCACCATCTGTGACAGTACTTGCCAACAGTGGGCTAAAACTACCTACGGATTTCACTGGTGGCAAGATATAGCCAGCTATCAGGAGGAAACATTTTCAGCTATTGTCATCCGAGTTGGAAAGCTATGACTTAGAATGTGTGTGCACGCATGATTACACTCAAGTTATCCAAACAAAGCAAAAAAGCTCTAAGCTAGTTCAAAATTACTATTTATTGCTTTACTGAGTGGTATTTATCGAGTGTCATAGAAATATGGAGCATCAAAAAGAAGAATATGAAGTCATCCATTATTGCAGGAACTACTTAGAGTTGGTTTCCAAAGTTTGTAATAAACTTTTAAAAGAATATGAAATGTATCCTAAATTTTTCATGGTTTATGATCAATAGGCTATAGGAAATCAGTTCAAAATGACAATATTAAACTATGAATGCTTTTGTGTGCGCCACTGCAGATAACTACCTGAAAGAAGTAAATCAATAATATAACAGATGGGGAAAAAGAGAGATTATTTTTGTATGCAAATAGAATGACTTAAACTAGTACAAATTATAAATCAAGTCTGTTCAGCAAAAGGTTTTTTGAAGGTTATCATCAAATCTATGTTTATTAGTGATTTCTCCTCGCCATTTTGGGGGGAACATTAAGACTGGAAAAATACAAAAGCGGGGTCTTCCATATTGCTTTCTCTCATACTAATACCATTCTACAGAAACTCTACAGCAGTACCAAAAGGAGATAAAGTTCATGGATAGCCTGAGTAAACTAAGGTACAGAATTAATAAAAAGAACATAAACAGATTATTAACACACCCACTGCACAGAGAATCAAGTAAAAGCCCAGAGAAAAATGCAACTGTTACATCCTCAGCCCATCTAAAATTTTTATTTCCTCAGTCTGACTTTTTCAGAGTCCTTTATGGCTTGATCTGTCTCTACGAGAGTGACCGCAGTGGAAGGCAGCTTGTGGGCCAGCTTCCCCATAGGATCCTGACAGCTGGATGAGAAGGGCAGATTTCTGAGGATCCCACTGTATATCTTTGCCAGTTATAAGGTAACTCCCTGATGAGATTTCTTGCATCATGTTAGTATCAAACACCAGTGAAAGAACAGTGTTTGGTTTCACTAAAATACCATCAGACTTTTGGCTTAAAATTATTTGGCTATAACACAAGAAATCCATCCTCTGTGTGTTCTCCAGGTCTCACAACAGAAAGACTTTCAGCCCACAAAAAATCATTAGGAATGAAGACAGCTGCTTCCTCACTTGGGAAACCATACATTTACCATGTCAGAAGACTCAAATACTGGCATACAAAGAGAATCTTCCCATCAATGTCACCATTCTCCACAATAAACTTGCCAGGCTGGATATTTGGAGAACTGCATAGATATAGTTTTCTATTCTCTAGACACATCTGCTAATGTCATTAGGCACAGACACTGGGGTAGGTCCCC